GGATGTGTTTTTGATAGTTATCAACTTTTTGGCAGTCCACTTTGAACATTTAAAAATAAGTAGATATGAAAAGAAACCATGTTTCGATGAATCTCTTGAGAAAATATTATTAGGGGGAATTTTAGTTCGCATGAAAGTGAATGAAGAAGAGATTCGTTGGTCGATCTCACCAGATGAGGACGGACGAATCTCATTGTACTACAGCCGTTTGGCTTTTATACAATATTCATTTTGACGCAGCCCACAAGACTTCCTCCCACGTTTTCACACAAAACGTGGACTGCGTCAACATGAATATCGTAAAAAGGCCAAACGGCTGCGGTACAACGAGATTTATCCGTCCTCATCTGGTGGGATCGACCAAAGAATCTCTTCTTCATTCACTTTCATGTGAACTGAAAGTCCCTCTAATAAAATAATAAGTAGTTCTCGAGACTATCCTTTATTCTAAAATAATAGTTGTCGTTGTGCCTTAATCCATCGTGGTCAGCATGAATTTTCATCAGGGGGTGACACATACCGATTATGCAAACGAACTCTGAACATAAAATAGGTTCGTCTCCAATGCCGTGGAAGCCCATCGACTGACTCAACCTACCTTCAGTTTGCGCACCAGCATCTTGCTGAAACCCTTTAAATATGACGGGTATAGATCCTTGTCCAATAAGGCCCCAAGTTCTGTAATTCCATCAAATACTCCCAAAACAAGCTCAGGCAGCTTACTCGGACTCTCGAACAGTGACCCTGTCAGCCCATCCAGCATTCTCATGAGATCGTCCAATCTCTTCTTATTTTTGTAGATTTCTTCAGTTTGCAAATCCTCGACGTGTAATGCCAGTATTTTTACCTCATCTAAAAAGCACTTGGCTTTTTCACATTCTCCCTCCAGCAGATCGCGGTAATTTCCAATTAGAAGATCATAAAATGATATTATACTCTCTCTCATTCGAGTAACCAGGGGGTGATCGTGATTCGGCCTCAGATAAGCCTGGCAAGTATCATTTTCTTGCATAAAGAGTTTACATATCTCGGCGTTGTCCACGATCATTTCCTTCCTATGCATATCGTACAGGGCTTGACTTGCACTCTTCAGCTTTGGGCGAGAAAACGTGTCTTCTCCTATAAAGGTCGAGCCTTTTCGTACCTTTCTGTCGGTTTTGACTGGCATCGGCTCATCTAAGAGGATTACCTTCCTTGCTGGGGGATGAACTACTTCTTCGTCCTTAATTAAAGGTGCATTAACCTGCTTTTCTGCGGGCAAACTGGGCTCCTTTAGTTGCTGCTCCGACTCCAGAGAAGGTGACTTGCCCAGCTTGGCTTGCATATCCACCGCGTAATGAGTGCCCGAGCTGTGCCCGACGAAAGTGACCTCGAACGCACTCTCCGGCTTTCCGGGTGGCTGGAGGCCCACTCTGCTCCTCACCGAGGCCTCGTCCTGGGCCTCGATTTGCAACTCGACCAGCATGTTCATTGGATTCAGCTGCTCGACACCCGCTTCTATGGCAGAATTGCAGAGATGACGACTGATCAAGGTGATACGTTCTCTGCTCTGAGGCCGGATTCGGTTTGTCTCCCGCTCCAGCAGGCGTCTGCTCACGGTCGACCTGAACGCTTGCTTTCGACCGGCGAAAGAGAACCGAACAGGACGCACCTCCGTCATCCGTCCACTCCTTCCTCTCGTCGACGGGCCGCCAGACGGGCAAATCGTCCTCCGACGAGGATTGTCGACGCTTTCTTTACTGCCACCAACAACAGTTGTTCTCTTGTGTCGTCTGTCAGTTGAAATTGACTCTCTGGACAGAAGGCCGCCTCTGTCCCGACGCGCCCCAAGCCTCCTCGCCGCCAGTCTGTATCCTGTGCATGTGGTCTGTCCAAATGGAGTCATCTCAAAATGAACCAAGCCATATTTCTGCTCTGAATCCAACTAAGTCACCTTTGAGCTCTCCTGAGAAGGTTCAGAATGGCAGAGTTAATCGATCTTGTCGAGCTTCGAACCTTCACTACAGACGGATCAACTGTGCCTGAGGCAGAAAAGGGCAAACCGCACAAGCTCAGTCGTCATCAGAAATGGCATCTCTGCACAAGTCAGTGATCTGGATCACGCATATTCGGATGAGGTTTGCTTATAGCATGCCTTCGATGCCCACAATATTCAAATTCACGACCTGCGCGCATAACTAGGGTCTAGAAGAAAGGCTTGCTTCAACAAGGATACAACGAAAGTCTCTACAACTTATGGAGGGAATGTGTGTGTTTTTGATAGTTATCAACTTTTTGGCAGTCCACTTTGAACATTTAAAAATAAGTAGATATGAAGAGAAACTGTTTAGATGAATCTCTTGATTAAAATATTATTAGGGGGACTTTCAGTTCGCATGAAAGTGAATGAAGAAGAGATTCGTTGGTCGATCTCACCAGATGAGGACGGACGAATCTCATTGTACTGCAGCCGTTTGGCTTTTATACAATATTCATTTTGACGCAGTCGACAAGACTTCTCCCATGTTTACACCAAAACGTGGACTG